GGGATCTTACAGAAATGAGCTCATTTATTCTTCACAAAGAACCTAGGAGGTAAAAAGGAGACTCAAAGAGGTTAAGTAACATGCTCAAAAGCATGTTACCTAAAGAGGTAGGGCCAGGATTTGAACTGAGGTCAGTTGTCTCTAGAGCCAGAGTTGTCTCCACATGCAGGGCTGATTCCCAAGATGGTGGATGGAAGAGTAGGAGACAATGTGAGACCTGCTTCTCCTAAACTGGGCAGCTGCCCCGGTAGGGAACAGTATTTAATCTCACTGTGATGATCTTCTGTGGTGTAGATCTAGAATATCCTCACGTGTTCAGAGGTAGGGCTTTCGGGCGGTGACTGGATCAAGGGGCCATACTCATCAGCAGACTTATTTACTGAGGTGAATGTGCCGTTGGGCAGTGAGGTCTGGTCTAAACAGGCAGGTCACTGCGGGTGTGACCGGAAGAGTCTACCTCACTCCCGGCTCCTACTTCCCGGGACCCAGGACTTGCAGTTTTCCTCCACCAGACAGCTCCACCGTGCCCTTCCTGCCTTGGGGCAGGTGACGACTGACCGAATCCTCCAAAAGTCAAGAGCCAAAATAAATTTATCTTCCTTTCAATTGTGAGTGACAGGTATTGTGACCAGAGAGTGACTAAAATAGTATTCTAAGCCCTTACTAAGATTTCAAATATCCGTAAATGTCTTGCTGATAGGATATATTTTGCAAAGTTCTGTTTTTTGATATCTGCAGGCAAATTTTAAATTCTGAAACAGCTACAGATATGCCCAAATTTAAAAAGCCTTAATATTCTGTTTACAATTATGAATATAACAGTACCAGCCCAACAGCGAACAGTACCTAAACAATAGTAGTGTCAGTGTTGGCAAATCTCCTACTTATCAGCTGGCTTTTCGAAATCCACATCTCAGCAAAGGCAACAACAGGAGATGTTAACATGTTTTATCAGAAACAAGTGCAAAAGCTTAAGAGGTTGTTACCAGGAGAAACAAAGCAAAAGTTGGAAGTAATACCAGTCTGAGTAATCAAGTAAAAGAAACAGTCCTAGTTACATAGAATGGTCCTTTGTCACTTGGGTCCTTATTTTCATGAGTCAGCACTTTTTCCCCTGCCTCTTAAGAGCCCCCTCCCCCTTCCCAATACTCTCTCTCTCTCTCTCTCTCTCTCTCTCTCTCTCTCTCTCATACAGCATTTTTGCCAGGGATCCATTTACTTCTGGGGATCCCCAAAATTTTCACAACGTCAATGTGGTGAAAAGCACTTTCATAACAATCCTATTAGGTTATTTGTCTTTTCCACCAGGCTGACATTTACACTAATGAGATAAAAGTAATGGGGGAGGGGTGGAACAGCTGCTGTCTTAGTGTCTGTGGGCTCATGGCCTCCAATCTCACACTGGGAGTTTCCACATCCACACACTCACGGTGCAACTAAGTGCCAGTTGCACTTGAAAATATTCCTGATAAAATAAAAGCTAATAACTGTATTAAATCCTAACCCCTGAGTACTGTCTTTTTAATATTCTTCCTGATAAAATGTCACCTAGAGAGGGGCACTTGCGTGAAGGAGTTGGAAGGCGAGCTGACAGCTTCTTTCATGGAACACCATTTTCACGTAAAGCAAAATAACTGAGAGACAATGTATGGTTATTAAAAATTGGGTATGAAGTGCATATCTATTTTTTGAATATAAAGGAAGTAAGCTTATCATTTTAGGAAAAAATAATGAAAGAAATTATAGTATTTGTTACAAAATACAAAAATTAAAATAGGTAAGCAAAATTTGGAACTTTGGAAAAGTTGTGTCTGCTCTCATACACTTGAGGGCGTCTAAGTACTCAGACTGTCTAGTGAGATCAGTGATGATCTTAACAAATGCCGAAGGTCTCAATTCAGTGACAGGATATATTCTAAACTACAAGTGCATCGTGTTACAGAATTGTCAAGGTAAAAGATCATTCAAAGTGCAACAGACCACTTCATTTGAATGTAAAAAAACAGCAACAGTTCACTGAGATCATTTTATGTTCCATAACAAATCTTTAAAAAACTACCACCTTTGAATTTTCAATGTAGTAACAAATAACATGAAAAATTAATTGTCAAAGACTTAAGATCATTTCCTGCTTTTATTGCCAAATTTCTATGTGAGGCCAAATTTCTTTGAAACTCTGCAACCTAAACTATGCACTACAAGAGTGAATGAACAAACAGATATGAGAATCTAGCTGTCTTCTCTTAAACCCGAAGGTAAAACAATGTCTCTAGTTTCATTAAAGGACTTCTGGTTTGGAAAAAAACGCTGTTATTTTGTATTATAATATTAACATATAAAGAGCAAATTGTTATTTTGATAAAACAAAAATTGTTTTTTTTTTTTTTTTTTTTTTAATTCTAACATGGTAAGACCTTTTAAGTGCTAACATAACAGTAAATAGCTATAGCCATAACCCACATTAGCTCCCTGGGGTCCCAAATGGTTCATAAGAAGGTCACAAGACGACACGGCCATGGGTTTACATCCCTGACCTCTGATCCACAGGGGCTGCATCTGCTACCCTCAATGCTTGGGTATCACCTTCACTCATGGTCCTTGCTACTTCCCTGCATGCTCCCTAAATCATGTACAATGAATATTTCCTAAAGAATATGCCACGACCCTTTACGTAGGGCACTCCATAAACTGCGACACCTAGCATCAGGAGAGGGCTGAAAACAATCATGTGACTTTTACAGGGAAAATAAAGGGAGAGAAAACAGAATTCACAATGATAACAGCTCTACTTGTCAGGACAGCAAAATAATTATACAATCCTAGATGAACACTGAGCCAAGATGTAGCTTAGGCAAGTTCATGGATGTGTATTATTTAGGAGAAAGGACAAAGAAAATAAAAGAAAAGCAAACACCACTTGTCCACACAAGAAAAAAAAAAAATCATGCCAGCACTGTTCTGAAAGCCGAGTCGTCAGTCATCAAAACCTGGTCTCTGTGGCCACCGCCAGTGTCTGACACCCAGCACTCCAGCACAGCTCCAGCTGCACTGCCACAAAGTTACCACTGAACAGATTTGACATCAAAATAACCCAAAGAGAGACTGTAAGATGAGAAAGTGATTTGAGTCTGATTTTAAACAGACAAGTCTGGTTCTGAGTAAACAACTATATAAAAATGAAGAGTTACACAATTACTTGTACAAACACCCTCCCCATCAGGATGTCCTGTCGAGGTTCTCTGTGCCTCAGCATCTATCTGTCGTGTCTACCTGCCTACTTCCCGAAATACACAGGTTAGCTCACTCCCCCTCAGCACTGCGGTCAGCATTCAGATAGCCATGTCCTGGATCAGAAGCCCCCTTAATTACCAACTCTTGGTGCAGATTCAGACATGCCATAACTAACCAAATCATGTAAAACTTGACTTGGATTTTAGGGCATTTTTAGATTATATGTAATATAAAACATAATTCAAGGAAACAACAAAACATGACATATTTAATGTTTTTATCAAAGAAAACTCTTGGACCTCAAAATAAAGTCTCTTATTGGAGCTTCCCTACTTGTCCTCTCCCATAAACAAATTACAGGCATGAGCACAAACATGAGCACACGAAATCCACTAAGCACACAGTAGGTTGTATATTCAGTATGGCACAAAGACGGTGACCAAGGATTGCTTATACAGAGAAGAAGGCTGTTGACTTAACTGTTACCCTTATCCCACCCCAAATCCACTCAGCCGCTCACACATGAGAGAGGGATGCCCCAGGACATCAGAGACTACCCCACTATACTGCCAGGGCTGACTCAGACTTCAGAGTTCTCTCTTCCCTCTTCGACAATGACTTCCTTCTACTGTGTCATCCATACATGGTATGCGAGCCACAAGTACTTTAAGTACAAGGTCCCGAACATGGCTCTCTGTCGCTCCTCTATACTTTTCCCATTGTTTACCTCTCCTGTTGTATCAGAACTGGACCTTGTGCCAAATGCGTTACTTTAAATAACCTTTATGCAAGAAGGCCTGAGTAGCAGTACACAGACATCATGGACAATGCTTCTTCTTTTCTTGGTTATGTGGTCATTCAAATGTATTTATGTGGCTATTGTAAGACAACAAATACTAATTTGATCACTAATAAGTTGTGTTCCACTCCTGTCCTTCCTTCACTTATATGTAGTAGCCACAATACAGATTCTCTGGCATATTAAACTAACATTTCTTCATTTATAGCACAGTTATTATGCTACATACAATGCAAAGTGGGAAGACAATAGTTAAAAGTCAAACACTATGGCCCTTGAGTAGGAAGCTTCAGCTATATAGTGGATTACACTGTAAACCATAAAAATCCAGTCTAGTCACAAAATTTCTGACTATTGTACAGACACCTAGGTATCAAAATTAAGAGTATTACTTCAGGTCTTTTTCAAGTGCTTATTCAGATGATAGATAAAACCCAGGCAAGATTCTTTCAAGAACTCTTAGTTGTTTACCCTGTACAAAGGCACATCCTCTTCCATTGGAGAAATGGGACAGGAAGAACAGAAGGAGACCCTTAGGAAGCACTCCACAGCCTAACAGATACTACAGGTACATCGCACTCCCACCCAATGAGATCCTACAGCATTCAAGTCCCATTCCAAAGACTGTAAATGTACACAGGTAATATTCCATAACAGTTACAGAAGCGACTGTAGTACGGGGAGTTCTGCAGAAAGTAAAACTATTATTCTGCTTCATCTGATAGACTCCTCTGTAACATAAATCACACCTATAACACAAACAACCACTGGGGCAAAAAACACCTCAGGTGTTTTACTTAATTTAGGAGAACACAGTTACCCAAACCTCTTATAGAGTAGGGAACTGTCTTTCACAGCTCCTTAAGGAAGGCTAATTCTTCATCCTGGATTTTCCTAGCAGATCCCAGCATTCCCTGGTTGAGCACAAACGCTCTCTTAAGGTATTTTCATTCCCAATCCTCTTCCGTACCTGTATGGCTCCGGATGTGCACCCGCAGGGTCCCGCTGCTGGCAAACTTCTGGCCACAATAGGGGCAGACCTTCTCCTTTTCTCCTGTGTGTGTCTACATGGAAAGGAATAAAAAGAGCTGAGGATAAACACTGAAGGAACTGGGTAAAGATGACTAAGTGACTTTGACAATAGTAAATCCTTATTTTCCAGGATTACATTTCATTAAAATGTTTTAATACCACAATGAGATTTTAAATAATTTACCATGGATATTCCCGGGGGTTCAAAAACCCTGCAGAATTGCGCATTGGTGATAATTTGAAAATAATTCTGCAGTTTACATTTTAAGCCTTTATGGGGCCTCCACCTAAAAGTGATTATATGATACAAAATCGGTATCTGCGAACAAAACCACATAATCTAAACGGGGCTAGAGCAGCTCCTGACTGCTGCCAAGAAACACTTCCTTTGAGGCATTTTTCACATTCTTTGTGTGCATTTAACTCTTGAGGACTGAATTAATCTCAATAAAGTCATCTGTTACTTATGCTTGTCTGGACAGACTTTACTGCAAAGCTGAAAGGAACATAAATCTAATTTGCCCTTACAATCAGCAGGTGTTAACTGAGCAGTCAGTTTGAAGAAGCAGTTCAATCCTTAACATACCTTCAATCGAGGCATGAAACAATCATCCTGAGAAATATAGAGAGGTATTATCAAAAATGAGTTTTAATAAGTGCTGGAGAGTTTACAAGTGATCACTCCAGAATGAAAATACAGCTGGAGTGTTTTAGACTAGTCTCATTAGAGGACCATTTTTTCTAACAACATTGAAACAGATCATTCCAATAAAACAGGTCAAGCCCCACTGTTTCTCAAACTCAAGAGGTTAAAAAAAAGACACACGGGGCTGTAAAGTCCTGCAAGAAGCTGAAGGTTCTAGAGAATGCTTTGGAAATCCATTTCAATGATAACCTAAGCATTAATAAAACCAGAGAGTGAATCATTTGAGCTACTTTCACAAAACAGAGCTCTCAGGCCTGGGTCTTCATTAGCTCCTATGCAAATTATCCATCGGTACTGTTATTTGAATTGTCATGAATTAATGAAGAGGACTAGGAATAGAAACAGATATAAACTACATGCCCTAGTCAACATCAGGTAGTTTAGTCCTTTAAAACATTTTTCCCTTGAAAGGGTTTATGCTACACTCAGGTTGTAGAAACACAGTTTAACCAAGTGCCACACTCAGGCATCTCCATGATTTTATGCACTTGGCAGGACTTTAACTTTCCATCTTTACTACAAGCTCTTATACAAAGAGTTATACCCCTTTACACTTTAATAAGAACCTTTTCTCCTGATTCAAGTTAAAGTGAAAGAATTTGTACTTTAACATATAACAGACCTATTTTCTCATTCCATAATAAAAGGGGAAAATATAGTAATATTTTCTTGATTAGTATAAAATAATTTAGAAACTTTATGTATTAATTTTTACAGCATGGGTTATTCCAAAGAGGTAACTGACAATTTATTCACTGTATCTTTATAAAACCCACAAGAATTTTTTCCTGCTATGTAAATATTTAGTTCTTCATGTGCAAGACCTATGTGTCAGTAACAGAAGTTTTGAACTAAAGGATACTAATGCTATATTAATAAAAAGAATTAAACATTTGTTTTTATTCAAAAATACATCTTACTGTTACGTATAGAATTTGGTTAGCTTGTTTCATAAGATATTGAAAGTACAAGACTAAGACATCTTAAATATTGATAAGAAAGCATGAAAACAACTCAGTATAAGAACAAAATAGGATACATGTATACAATAAAAGAGAACAATGCACTGCAACATTTTATCAGTGACAAGCTACTGCTACAGACAAAAAATTCTTCTGTAAACTCTTTCCTTCTTCATGTACTAAAAAAAAAATCTGTTAAATGCATACAAAAAATAATTCAAGGAAAATTTGAAAACAATTCTATTCAGATATTTTTAAATGATGATAATATCATTATTCTTCAGCATATAGGATGCATGAGAATAGAAGAGTTGCTCGGTTGAGTCTTTTTACAACAGGTATACTAAAGCCAGGTCCCAAATCAAAGTCATGCGGAATGGGGAGTCATTTCTTCACATTCATGTAATACTTGCTAACTAGTAGTATTGGAAAACTACCATACTTCATAGGTATTTCTGAAGTCAATTTAAAATTCACTGCAGTTGTCACAATATGAATTGTAATATCTGAAAAATGTAGTTAAATACATTTACCCAACAAAGAAAAAAACTTGATTTGCTTAAAGTATTTATTTAATTAGAATAAGGCAAAAATCTCCCAATCACTATAGGTAAGAATACCATTTATGCAAATTGAGCAAATAATTTATGCTGTCCTTTTGGGTACTGAGAAAATCCCTACGGACTACAGACACAAAGAGAACCGTGCCAAGTGTAGAAGGCCTCAGTGAACTAACTTCCCAGGAAGCATCTAACTAAGCAATGAAGAATACCTAAGTAAGCTAAAAGTTCATCATATTTTTAAAATTTAAAAATCTACAGTAATCTAAAAATTTAAAAACTGGCCACTACCCATAGAAAATTCTGTAAGGTTCACTGATTGCATATATTGAATGGTTACTAGCTAATCTATATTAACTCTGATGCTGTTATCACAGAAAAAGCATTTATTCTAAAACATGAAGAAAATGGGTACTTCCTGCAGAGCACGTATAAACTACGCCTTTATCATTTTGAGTAAATATGTTGGCAAGTTGATAAAAAACCATCACATGACAGTGAACATGTATGTCCACAATCCTTAAACTGATAACCCACTCCTTAAACCTGTACTTACTTTCTTATGACTCCTGAGCACAGACGGCGTAACAAATGCCTTATTACACAGCTCACACCTGTACTTCTTGTGTCTTTCATGCACTACTTGGACATGGACATTTAATGTATCTTTTCTTTTAAAGGTAGCATCGCAGTGATGACACTTGAAAGTCCTCTCACCTTAGAAACAAAATATGAAGTCGGAGAAATGTTAGATACAATAGGTGGGTCAAAGTTATTTTTATAATATTCATAATTTTGTTCTTGAAACAAATTTCAGTTGCACATTTGCTAATTCACTGTGACCAGGGGAAAATCTTTTGATCTTGCTGAGTTCCCAGTCAGCCTGACTGCAGAATGTAGGACTGGAGTCCGCTCATTTCCTGAAGCACCGTGGACCTGTGTTACAGTATGCGTTTGCAGGAAGGAACCAGGACTGGAGGAAAGCAGCCTCTTGCCTGGACACGAGACGCTATCGCTGTCATGCAAGGTGAAATGTCTTTGTGGTCTCTCCCAAAGTCCTTTCAAATCACACCACTGTCCTGAACTTCCGGAAACAGAGGCAGAATGGTCACAGCTAACAGCCTAGAGCAAAGAGGCTGAGGGCAGACAGACATCATGACACCGCTCTCATTCTGGAGAGGAAGAGGCAGAGGCACACGGCACTGTGTCCCTCCTGCCGCTATCTCAGCACAAGGACTGGGGGTCTTCCTGCCTCGGGCCTTAGGCTGCAGTGAAGCAGTCTGCCAGATCCTCAGAGAGGCAATTTGCGACTGGAGAATGGAAAGCGGCAGCTCTACCCCGGACTGTGGGCACTCTAGGGGTGTTCATCTTCTGTTTACTACCTAGGGCCGGGGCCTGAGGGGAAAGCATGTCTAGAAAATATGTTCAGGGATCTTAGGGGTACTTTTTCACTTTCATATAATGCTATCTTTGTAACCCTTCTTAACATGAATGCCTAACTTCTAAAGGGCCACTGTAAATATAATTTCAGCAATGAATGTATGGAATTAGAAGATGGTATCTTATAATAGGACATTATAATAGCATATGATTATATAGAAAAAATAAATCAGTATTTTAACATGGTTCATTAATATATAGTAGCACGCACTTAAATAGCCTACCAACTACAGGGTAAAATATACAAATACTAAACATTTTGTATTCTATCAGGTTGAAGAGGCGACCTCATTTTCAACTAGTTTCAACCAAACCCTTATAACTTCCTTCTATCATATCTAGCACTAAATACAGAAATAGAAAAACCCTAGGATTTCTCTAAATTTGAGAGGAAAGAGAGAGAGAGAGAGAGAGAGAGAGAGAGAGAAACAAGTAAAAAAATTACGTTACGTTCACTTTGTCTTGTCAAACAGAATTCTGCTCTCTAAATTCTGATAAGAATCTCATTCACATTTAATGAGTGAAACAAAGCCATGTTCATACCAAGAATGAACTCAACGGTGTGGATGCTGACAGCTAGGTTCATTGATTACATTTACACACTTTTATTGCAAGGTATTATTCTTATAAATTGCTTTGTCTTTATACTTTTTAATTTATTTAAATATGCCTTTATATAAAATGTATACTCATTTAAAATATAAGGAAATAGCAATTGATGAAGGATTTTAAGTCTTAATGTTAATAATATTAAATCTATTAGGTACCAAAAATATTTTTTAAAAGTGTGGTAGATCAAAAACTTGTGGTCAGCTTAACACTAGCTGAAGTGAAGCAGCATGATCCTGAGTACCGATGGTCCACCTGAGGACTACGGCCAGCATAAAAAGAGGTGGACAGGAAGAGAGTAGCACTGTGGGTTCTCCTAAGTGGTGTTGCTGTTGGAGCTGATGCTCCTTCCAGAGGAGCTTGTCATGCTGGCTTCCCTGATATGAACTTTGAAGTTGTCATCAGAGGAGCTTGGGACCTTGTCGCTGAGAATGGCTGTGGTTCATTTTGGGGAAGTTTTGGTTCTTACTTTGAGCATTGCTTCCTGGCTTCAGAGGGGAAGAGGTGTGCTCTCCAATTTCCAGAAGAAGCTTGTCATGCTGGTTTTCTGATATGGATTCAGCAGTTCTCATCATTGGAGGGGTTTAGGATCTCACTGTGCTGAGAATGGCTGTGGTACTTTTTAGGAGGTCATGGGTCCTTATTTTGAGCATTGCATCTTGGCTCCAGTGCAGAGCCCTTAAACTCCTAGTACAGATACTTCACCCTGCTGGCACAGGCTTTCTGGCTACCAGCACTTCTCAGCCTTTTCAGCACAGATCAGTAAAACAGACTTGCGTGAGTCACTGTTGTGGGTTGTAGGCCTCCAGTTGGACTTGTAAGGGCTCCAGGTCTTCAGCTGGACTCATGCAGAACCCTGCTTTGGGATCCAGGCCCTCTGCTGGATTCTCTCTTTATGTGTGGACAGATTTCCTGCGCTCCTTGTAGTTGACTCATAAAACAATACTATAACTTATGTGTCTTATATGTAATAGTTTACCTTGTAATTCCCTGACTACAACAAAAACCCTTCAAGATTGCTCCGTAACAAAACATTTTCACTAAATTATCAAAATCTTGGTCCCTGAACAAAAACTCTATCAAGTTATATGAAGGAAGTTAAGGTATTAAAAAGCTAGCCAGCAACCTGCCTTATCGATTTTAATGTATTACAAAAGGAATAAATTCTAAACTAATTATTACACTTTATTTATATTTTGAATCAGAGTATAGAGGCAAATTTCGAGTAACAGCCATCATATACTAAAGTTACATGGACTGTGCTAACAAGACCTAGTATTTTGTCCTTTTTATTTTAGCCATTGCTTTTTTCCCATTCTTTTAAGTCACTGGTCTTCAGTGGTATCTAAAGTAGCTCCTTTGCCCATTCAATTATGAATATGGATTTTATTGGCCAGGTATCATGATGCATCTTCACAAAGCCCCTGACGACTGTGCTGATCAATGAAATAAAAAATACACAATACAAACACAGTGTACATGGAATCACTTCAATCCTATTTCTCAAGTTGTTGAAACCAATAAAGTGAAATCTAAATCATTAAATCTCTTCTTTTACAAATTTCCTCTTCTTAGGAGACGAAATTTTATTTTTCCAAAGAAAAAAATTTCCTGTGTACCAGGCCAGATCTAGCTATGAAAATTTTAACAAAAGATGAGTATGGTTCACTTGTCTACATCCCTATTTTAAATTCCATTCATCTCAATACAGTCACTTTTCTTAAACAATGACGAGTGAAAAAGGATAGAAATCCATGCTATTGCACAACAAATTTTATTTCTTAAATACACAGTTGCTCTTTATAAGAAAACAGAATATTGTGTTAACAACTTCTCCAAAACGGTAAGGTGAACACTGAATGGCCCGAGAACGTAGCATGATCTTTTCCTAGAGGAAGCATTTCACCAAATTAATTACCACTCAGTATTTATAAAAACCTTAATATCTTTTTTATTTTTCAGTTGAGACACTTCAACTTGACCAGAGAAAACTTCTTCCAAAATACTGTTCTGTAACAACCAGTTATCAAGATTGATTAATTACCTCACATGTCTCAGAAACTTAATATTAAACAGGATAGGAACTTCACATGTACACCCATCACTAAATATCTCAAAAGTAAGAAGCAAAAATATTAACCATGGTACACAATTTTTTCTTCAATATTTGAGCAACAGCATATCTGGTTATCTCCACATCTGAACAAAGAACACACTTTGACTTTCACCTTTGCAATAATGTTTTCTTCTTAAAATCACATCCTTTGGTGATATAGCTAAAAATTCTGTGGCATTCTAAGAATAATGCAACCACTGGAGTTTCACGGTATGATGTGTAGCACTTAATAAAAAGAATTTCCCACGAAAATAAAAAGTCAGAGGCAGGACAGTAATGGGAAAGGCACCTATCAGTGACTAATCCCCAGCATCCCGCTGTGCTCTCTGAGCCTCAACATTCTCAGTGCCCTTTAAATTAAAGAATTCAATTAGACGTGTACTCTGATCTGCTCCCATTCTGAAAGACACAGTTACAAAATCGTGCCAGATATCTCTGTGTTTTAAAGAGACAGAACTGTTTCCTAACGTCTCATCTTTAAAAGTTAACAAAAACACTGTTGCAAAACCAAGTTCAAAGATACCTTTGTGAATCTAGGGTTTTATTCGCAAACTATAAATATTGGGAAGAAAAGTATAAAAAGTCATGATGGAGGAAGGAATGACCAAGGGAGATTTATTAGTCCTTCTGATGTTTGGAAGCAGATGACCTAATCACTGCAGGTTTACTTCAGGGTGCCTACATCCACAAAGGGTTACGATAAATCTTCCTGTTCTGGACTGCTTGAACGGGGACTTACTGTTATGTATTAGCAGGTGTCTCTGCAAAGAAAACGGGGTCCGGAACAGAGCTTTACATTCACCGCACTGGAATGGCCTCTCTTCAGAGTGAGTCTGCAGAAGACAAAGTGAGTCAGGAGAGCTGAGGATCGACTCAGATTTACACAAACAGACGGTGGCTTTATGAAGAGAAAGCGGAAAGCAGGAAGAGAGATTGTATCTTGTTTCTTCTGCTTTCTTCCTTCCATCATACAACGCTACACACAAGTATGTTTTCTTACAAGAGAAAAACAGCTATACTATCAAACTCTCATAAGATTTAATTAAAAATTTGATAAATACCAAAGCAACAGTTCTTACTATCTCAAATTGCTGATCTATACATACAACGCGATTTCTCTGCATCTGTTTTGCATTGCAACGTGGTGGGTAAATCCTCTGAAAACTAACCTTCCTCTAGCACGGGCCAGGCCAGCACCAAATTTCCAACACAGACACAGCTCACTTCAAGGAGGAATTTCAAGTAATCATTAGTACTAAGTTCAACTTTTCCCTTTACTACACGCCAGCCTTCATTCATGCTATGATTAACCCTAAGCAACATTCATCACATATATATTTGTTTCAAATGTCATGCTAAACACTCCACAGTAATTACTGTATTAAGTTCCAACTGTGACGATGAATAAAATACTATTGCTATCACTACTTCACAGGTGAGAAAACTATGACTTAAGCGATTTCAACAACTTTTCAAAAGTCACACAGCACAGATGAAGCAGGCACCATTAAGTCGTATGGTACAGTCTTAAGTCAACACAGATCTGCTGGTAAACAAGAAATAAGGGCAAGCAACCAGCTAGATAAACATTTAAAAAAAAAAAACAAAAACAGGACAGAAAAGGCATAGTCACATCACCATTTTCTAACATAATCAGAATAAATAATTTGTTACGAATTAGTGACTAAAACCTTATTCTACCATAGATGGCAAGTAATAATGTTCATAAATGTGAGAAAATTAAACCGTGCTCTTATTTACAATAAGCCAAATCATTTATGTGATAGGACTTTAATATACCTATGATACAAAAATTCAAATAATGTAAAGGATGGTCACTTTATTCAAAATGCATTGACTTACACATTATCATAGTGTAATAGAATTGCAGTATTCAAGATGCAGATAGCAACTGTTAACACAATATTATTGAAAAGGGGACTAAAATGGTTGTTACCAGTTGTGAAAATGCATTAAGTATGGGAAGAACAGTTTTTTTTAAAAAGTCAAGCTAAGTTAAAAATATTTGAATGTGTGATTTACATACAGAAATTAAAATGGTAATATAGAAATACATATCCCTATAGAGGAATCAATCAGAAAAAAGCAAGGTTTCTTTCATAAGGTAACAAAAACAAAAATTCAGTATAAAAAAGTATGACATTTCAAATAGATGAGAAAAGAGTAGAACGGTCTAAAAATTCTAGAAAAATTGAAGTTGAATCTATAACTTCATACAATAGGATAAGTATCACATTAAGTAAGGTATTTTTAAAAGTGAATAAAATCATAAATGAACTAGAAGAACACATAGGCAAAATTTTAAATACTTCTTGAATGGAAAACAGACTGGCATGGCAGAAAAGTGGATATTCAGATGAGAGAAATAAGTACATTTAAAGCTGGACAGAGAAAATTATAGCAAAAAGCAAAGAAAATATTTATAACATACAACAAAAACGATAGTTCGTATGCAAATAGTTATGCTGTATTGATAAAAGTACAAAGAAAAATCACAAAGAAAACTCCTTCCTCTTATCCTTCCTAAAATTTCATTCATTATATCATTTTATCTCAGATCTCTGCTGTGCCATGGTTAGTTCTGTTTCAGATGTTGCAAACAGCAGTGAACAAAAAAGACAGAATCTCAAACTCCCTTCTGTTTGGTAGTTTTTTTACTAATGGAGAACAAACAACAAGAAGAAAATATATGCTCTATGAAGACGGAATACATGATATTAAGAAAAATAAAGAAGGAAACTGGATAGACAGAACTTAGCTGACATAGATAGGAAACACTATGAAAGCTGTGTGGTTGGAGATGCACCGTAAAGACTGAGAAGTGGAAAGATGCAGTCAGAGAAACGGAAGAATTAAAGGAAGAGAAGCAAATCGAGGGCAAAAGTAGCCATTACTCACAATTTACAGGAGGAGGGGTTTAATTGGTTCAGTTTCAGACCATAATCAGCTGGCTCCAAGGCAGAGAAATCACGGTGAAAGGCTGTGGAAAGCTGCTTATGTCATGGTGGCTGGATGCGGAGGAGGGAATGGCGCCAGACAGCATAGGGCCAAGAATCACTCCCACATAATTCCCAAGATCACACTTCCAATGGCCCACCCAGACACACATGAGTGTATTTTATCAGTCTACCAGGGATTTCTTAATCTGATGAAGTTAACACATCAGGATTAATGGTCATAATATACTCCTAATCAATTTAACTCCCAAATATGTTTTTAAACTATACTTAATAAATAATGACAATAGCAAATTCAGAATTTAGCCTACATAATAGAACTATCCTGCATACAAGAACAAACACAATAATTCCTTCCCAAAAGTCTCAACAGCTCCAGCATTTTTCAAAAGTCATAGTCCAAGGTTCCTCTGAGACTCATGGCAAACTCAGAGCTATGAACTTCTGTAGAAATTTTTTTTAGAAGCTACATATTTCCAAAGTACAATAACACAAGATAAACATCCCCTTTCCAAGAACACAAGAATGGGGGAAAAAAAGGACCAAAATAAGCCCCAAAGCCAGCAGGACAAATACTAAATTGTATAGTTTCATGTCCAGAATTAGAGGCACTTTACAATTTTCCATGGCTGACACTTCACATCGCTGGCATCTCCTGCCTCCTGGAGACTCACTGTTACTTTAGCTTCATCCTCACAGCTTCAGGAGTTCCCTCTCGGGGCTCCTTTCCTGGCTTTCTACTTTCCTTTGAAATCTATGCAAAACCCTCTGTGATCCTACGATTCCTGCATTCTGCATGACTGTAACACCAGCATCACATGGACGATACCAAGGCCTGCCGTCAGCGGAAAGTCAGGACCATGGCTCCAATGCACTCTGTGTTCCTCGATGGCTGAGCACAGTGAAATGAATCCCAGGAAACCAATCCCCTAGGACATCCTTCAAGGAAAGGTTCCCTCAGGGACTCTCTTCTCAAAAGAAAGAATGACATAAAGAAGGGTGACATTTTAGAACCCTTCAGCCTGCAATGGATGGAGTCTTGGTGATTCCTGAGATTTTCTCAAGGCAGCTTTCTTCTTATATATAACACTTGGTTTCCTTTTAAGGGCACTAATCTTTTTAGCAGCCACAGATACTCTGGTCCCAATTTTATACACAGTTCCCTTTGTCAAAATACAAGTTTTTCCTGCTGTGTATTTTGCCCCAAATTCTCACTTATAATATAGATAAAAGCAGCCATCAGTACCCAGACCACAGCCCAAATGTTAGGCTTGAAATTTCCCCTGCTAGATTAATCAATCTGCTCCCCTTAGTCTCAGTGCCCTACAAAGTCTCAGGACAAGAGCAAATGCTGAAAACTTTTCTGCCAGAGTACACATACACATGGTATACATGGGCTCTACCCCAAATACAGTAGAGTCCTTGTTCCCAACTGAACCCCCCAGCCTGGCCTTTACTGTCTGCATTGCTGTCAACTTACTGAATTTTAAACTCTGACTAGCTCTCTCTATTGCATTCTAAAATTTCTATAGTCTATGTCTTCCAAACTCCTCCCATAAAGCAGTTTTAGGATTTCCAAGACATATGATCAGGTACAGATACAGCATAGTTCCACTTCTCTGGTACAAATTTTCTGCATTAGCCAGCTTTCTCATCTCTGAGACACAATAACCAGTATCCACAATTAAAAAGAGGAGCAGTTTGTTTTGTTCATTTTTTTAGTTCATGATTAGTTGGCTTTAAGACAGAGACACCATGGTAGAAGGACATAACAGCAAAATTGCTTAGTTCGTGGTAGCCAGGAAGCAGAGCAAGGAAAGAGTACCAGAAAGGAATGGGAGAAAGACTGAATGTACTATTTAAGATCACACCTCCATGTTGTACCTAGAAACAATCAAGAAAATGCTTTTATTCTTGTGTCTCTAAATCCAATGAAAATGACTCTTCAGGATTAACGGTCACAGTTTCTTACTTAGACGGAGATGTAGAATCTCAAGAAAGTTTTGAACAGATGAGTATCATATCTCACGTTACATTTAACAGAATGTTATGGAGACTGAGTTGACTGCGGGATTTCAGAAGACAACCAAAACCAGAGAAACCTGAGCAGTGGAAAAATTAAGAACAAGGTAAGACTTACACCTAGGCGGTAGTCACAGATAAGAAAAGTAGGATACAGGGTATCTTATGTAGAGGAACAGATTTTGTGGGAAGGAATCAGAAATGAAGGATGAGACAGAAGAGGAAGGAGGCATGATTTTAAGGTTCGAAATATAAGAAATACAACAGACACATGCAAGATCAAACGTGAAAGAAGACCTATCAAAGATAAGAATTCAGTACTGGATGGAAGACATTTAGTAGACAGCAAGCTATTTTAAGTCTGAATTACAGATTATCAAATCTGGATTACATATGGTATTAATGTTTATTTCAGAAATGCAATGGAAGAGTGCAAAAATCTAAAACACAGTTAAGATCTACTGTCTTTCAGTTTTCTAAACATGAAGAAAACAAGTATCACTCAATTATGGCCAAAGAGTAAAGACAAGGCAGTCTCACAGAGTGAAAAACAGGGTTACATTATCACTCAAAAATATTATATTCCATGCTAAATTAGTCTTTCTCTTTTTGCAAGGTTAGAACAAAAAAAAATGAACAGCACTTAAAGCAAGTAACATTTTAAAGCACCAAACCAGTAATACATAGTCAAGTGTTTGGCAAAGTGATTCCCATGCTACCATATGGGTTGCAATGGCATGACTTGAACCTGTATCACAGATTCTAGGTATGCAGAGAATAGCAAGGCCCTGAAAGAGATCATTTCACTAAAGAAAAGCAGTAGTAAAATGCTT